AGCCAAAACTCTCCTGAAAAAAAAGAAAAAAGGAAAGGAGGCATCACACTCCCAGACTTCAAACTATACTACAAAGCCATAATCATCAAAACTGCCTGGTATTAGAACAAGAACAGATACACAGACCAATGGAATCGAGTAGAAAATCCAGAAATAAACCTACAGATTTATGGTCAACTAATTTTTGACAAAGGAGCAAAGAATATGCACTGGAACAAAGAATGTTTGTTCAATAAATGGTGCTGGGAAAACTGGTTCACTACATGCAAAAGAATGAAGCTTGACCACTACCTCACATCATGCACAAAAACCAACTCAAAATGGATTAAAGAACTATACATAAGACCTGAAACCATAACATACATAGAAGGAAATATAGGGGAAATACTACATGACATGCACCTCAAAGACATCTTTACAGACACATCACCCAAAGCAGTGATAGTGAAGGCAAAGATAAACAGCTGGGACTACATCAAATTAAAGAGCTTCTGCACAGCAAAAGAGACAATAACAAAAACAAAGAGAAACCCCACCAACTGGGAGAAAATATTTGCACACAACACTAATGATAAAGGACTGATCACAAAAATCTACAAAGAGCTGATGAAACTCAACAAAAACAAAGAAAATAATCCAGTCAAAAAATGGGCAGGAGAGCTAAAAAGAAATTTCTCCAAAGAGGAAATGCAAATGGCCAACAGGCATATGAAAAAATGTTCAATGTCACTTGCAATCGGGGAAAATCAAATCAAAACTACAATGAGATGCCATCTTACACCGGTGAGAATGGCACATATTAAAAAAAAAAAAAAAAAAAAAACTAGCAACAACAAATGTTAGCGAGGTTATGGAGAAAAAGGAACTCTCCTGCAATGCTGGTGGGAGTGCAAACAGGTCCAACCACTATGGAGAGCTGTGTGGAGATTTCTGGACCTACTAAACATAGAGCTTCCATATGATCCAGCAATTCTACTCCTAGGTATTTACCCAAAGGACACAGAAACAGTAATTCCAAAGGGCACCTGCACGCCTATGTTTTTAGCAGCACTGTTTACAATAGCTGAGCTATGGAAGCAACCCAAATGCCCAAAAATAGATGAGTTGATCAAGAAGATGTGGTACATATACACAGTGGAATATTACCCAGCAATCAAGAAAGATAAACACATGCAGTTTGCAGCAAAATGGATGGAGCTAGAAATGATCATGCTCAGCGAAATAAGTCAGAAAGAAAAAGAAAAATACCGGATGGTCTTACTTATAGCAGGAATTTAGAAAACCTAAATAAGAGACCAGGAAAAAGACTAATCAATGCAAAGTAATAATGAAAATCAACAAACAACTATAACCAGAGACACACTATGGGGGTGGGGGGGGTTAGGGAGGGGCAGGGAGAGGAAGAACTAGAGTCAAAATAAGGGGGATGCAATTGTATGGGGAATATTACCAAAATGAAAATGCATACATTGTACAAAGGTGAAAAATGATATAAGAATTATATAAAATAAAATATTAAAAATATAGATTACAATAGTAAATAGATTACAAGCATTTCTGAAATTTAATTTTATGTGAAGAAAGGAAAAAAGAACCAACAGATGAACCAAGGAAGGGCATTATTGTATAATAGTCCACTAGTTCTGATATATAGAATCACTCCTTTATTAAATTTTTGCTTTTTCCACTTGCACACTTTGATTGCTGTATTAAAATCTGATTTAGATTGCTTTTAATTAATGATATATGAAAAATCATAATGAAATTTATTCTACCAATAAACAATATAGAAATGAAATGAAGAAAACATAAGAGGTACAATTGTAATATAGATGCACCAAAAGCTATTTTCCATCTTCTCCTTTCAATGACAATGCACTTGACTTAGAAGCAGGCAGCACTCTATACATAGTTTATCCTGGATAGTTATTTGGATCCATATTTATCCTGGATAGTTATTTGAGCATTTAAATGTCAAAAAAGGGGGCCTCCCTGGTGGTACAAGGGGTTAAGATGCAACCTATGAAGCTATCCGCAGCTACTGTAGTAGCATGAGTCTATCCCTGAACAGGGAGCTACCCACATGGCGCAGCAGACCTCACCTTCCTTGTCCACTGCTCCCCTGAGCAGTGCATTTCAACTGATCTGCCTCTCTGTCTCTGGTGAATCATTTCACCCCCCCATACCTCTGACCTGTACCCCAATTCTTGTATGCATAAATAAATAAATCTTCAAAAAGTGTAACTTACTAAAAAAATAAAATAAATGTCAAAAGAGTCACAATATATAAATTAAGTTTTGAATTAAATTAGTTGTATTCTTAATAAATATTACACTGATTTTAGGTATTTTAAGTTTATATGTAGTCTATATAGTGGCATAAATAGCATGTAAATAGGTAAAACATAAAAGCTATGTATTAATATATAATGTGTGATAAACTATAAATATATAACAAGTGTATATGCCTATATATAATATAGCTACAGATGAAAATGTATAGATTCTTGCATCATTTCACAAAATTTTGATCTCATTAGGCCATAAAACATAGCCTAGATATGCAGGAGACTGCATAATCTAGGTTTGTGGCATTATGCACTATGACAGTCACATAACAATGAAATTGTCTGATTACATTTCTTAGACTATATCCCTATCATTAAGTGGCACATGCCTGAATAAACACACACACACACAGATTAATTTTCTCCATTGATTTTATTGGCTGTATTTTGTGTGTGTGCATATCTCATCTTGAGTCATTTATAAATATTAGCATAACCTAAGAACATTCTAACATTCTATTTCCAGTGACTCCTCCCAAGACAAGCTCCAGTTTCCAAGGAGATACAAGCACAACAAAACCAGAGAGTAAAAAAAGGTGTATTTGCAACAACACCTTACTTTCACAAAAAATTTTACTGGGTGGATACCTCAAATGCTATTTTTCCTTGTCAATATTGAATATTTAATGATCTTACAATTTCTGTTTTAATATGAAACTATTTTTAAAGCATTTTAAGTATTATGTTACACAATTAAAATTAATCATAAAATTATAGAGCACTGCCTTTTCATTTTCATGAGAAAATCTTTGTTAGCAGTTGTTTGATTTTCCTTTCAGTCACCACGCACAGACATTTCCACACAATATGTACATTTACATGTTTTGGTCAGATGTGCTTTTATTTTGAACATTATCAGGAAAATCACTGTAATCTTGGTCAGTGACTGCTTTATTCCACTTAGGATCACATCTGTGAAATTCTTCTCAGCACATTTTATTAATGGTTTCAATTTTTTTAATGTAATTCTATAATGGCCTTTTTTTTTATTGTACATGTGTCCTTAAGCGTCTCCTTTAAATAAGTAAATGTCTCCTTTAATATATGAAAACATTGGTTATAGGGCCTCCCCCGGTGGCGCAGCGGTTGAGCGCTGGGTTGCGAAGCTGCCCGCGCTGCGGCGCCGGTTCGATCCCCTGCTGCTCCCCGGCCACCGGAGGAGGGTCCCACATGGCGCGCAGACCTCTCCTGCCGCCCACTGCTTCCCTCAGCAGTGTACTTCGGTCCTTCTGCCTGCTCTGCTCCCCGCTCTGGCTCTGGTGAATTCTCTCACCCTCCCGCGCTTCTGACTGTACCCAGTGCATGTATAAACAAAACAAACAAACCAGCAAACAAATAAATAAAGCATGCCTCTATAAAAAAAAAAAAAAAAAAAAAAAGAAAACATTGGTTATATTTCATTAACTCTTGGCTAACTCTTCTAAACTAAAATTGCAGATTTCTTTTTAATTACCATCAGATGTGGCACATGATTTTGTTGTTGACTTTAATTTGTAAAGATATTAGTAAGTGTGAAGAAAGCAGTCCATAAAATTGTCACCTTTGCTATATATTTCACTTTGTGGCTTTATAATTTCTAAAGGATTTTATTTACCAATATTTTATTCACTTTTTAAATGATGCTATTTAAAAGCTATGAAAGTTGTTTTCAATATAATGCTTTATTCTTAAAAGTATTTAAACGTTTATCATCTTTTATAATGTTTTGATAAATCCATAACAGTGTAAGTATTTTTTCTTGAATAGTTAATGAATACAGCTATAAAAAGTTTCTATTCTGTGCCTGGCACACTTGGTGTCACATTTTTGATAACTTTCTTTTTTGATAACATTACTATTGGTCCTTGAGGTATTTGTTTTTCAGTCTGTTCTTGAGTCAACTATAAAATAAAGACTTGCAATCTGGCTCTTACCTCCCTTGCACAAACATTTGATACCTAAGATTTTTTGCTGTGTTTTACAATGTTAAAGAAAAGAATAACTTGACTAAGAAAATTAATGTTTCCAATTTGTCATTCATGAGTAAATATGGAAAACTAAAAATTTCCACATAAGCAGGATGAAGATTCTTAATTATAATATCTCTCTGAGAAATTTTGGGGTAAAGCAAAGCAAAATGAAGCACTCTTGATAATTAAATTGTGATGGTGATGACTGAGAAATGGAGAGAGAGAGAAGCCAAGTTAAAAGACCTAGTAGTGAACATTGAATCCATTTAAAAATAAGGCTAGGATTCTGAAAAACTGTGGGAAATGTAAACATAGAAGTTAAATGTTCTTTATTTTGGACAATGTGAAATTCAATGTGTAAGTAACAAATTTGTGTGGGTTGAGAAGAAAAATGAAATTGCTGTCCGTTCCTGTGTCCTTTTAAGGTTGATGCAGTGTTTTTTATTTTGTTTTGTTTTGTTTTTAAGATTTATCCATTCATGCACACAAGATCTGGGGCACAGGCCAGAGGTGCAGGGGGTGAGAGGACCCACCAGAGGCAGAGTGGGGAATAGAACAGGCAGATCAACTGAAACACTGCTGAGGGGAGCAGAGCCAGGAGAGGTCTGCTGTGTCATGCGGCCACTTCCCCCATCCATCCGGGGATCGAACTCGTGCCGCAGTGCAGTGACTGCAGACAGCCCCATAGGTCGCGCTCAACCCCTTGCGCCACCAGGGAGGCCCTGATGAAGTGTTTTAAGAGGCTAACATAGAAAAGTAAAGTAAGTCTCCATAAAACCCAGAGAAGAGATTGTAAACACCTCTTTGGATCCTGTCTGGAGTCACAGCTGAAGCAGAGGAAAATTTCCTTTGAGTTTAAATATCTTTGTAAAAGTGATGAAGTTAAACATAAGTGATAGCAAAGTGATGAATAGCAAAGTGATGAATTTAAACATAACCTTAACTTTGATAACTACAGGCATGTTTTTCCACTCCTGGAGTTAGTATTTCCAAATGGATTAAGGAATTTGAACACTTTAGTTTTCTTTGAAGGTGGGAATAAATCCAAGTGATGCAACTTTGAGATAAATGAAATATACTTTAAATTTATATCTATTTAAAAGGTCATTTGAAATAAGAAAATGGTGAACTTTTTTGAAATTTTGTGATATTCATATTTTTCTTGTGTTAGTAAATCTTTTTTATATAGGTTACTCAACATTTGAAATATATTACTCAAAATTATAAAGGGATAGATCTGGAAATATACAGGTGAAGCAAAGGAGAATTAAGAAAATCAAGGGGTTGTAATGAGAAAAGTAATTGTTTTTGTTTCTCATAATCCACTGAAGGTACAAAACCTCAGCTCCTTATTCCCACATCCTGATAAGTAAACTAAAGCTAACAGAGCTTTCATAATCTATCAATAGTTAATAGGCACACAATTAGCAATCACAATTTTGCTATGAAAACTAGGCCTTCCATAATACTCTGTTCATATTCTAAAATTCTGTAATACTCTGTTTTAGAGGTTTCCATATTAAATGTTTTTCCAATTTATCAAAATTTTCCATTTCTGCTGACATCTACAAAATTCTAATCACTATTTTATTATTATAACTAAGATGAATTAAGTTCAATTGAATTATGTGGTGTTTAGTCTTCTTGAAAATTTAAAACAATCAGTAACATTGAACTAATAACAATATAATAGCATAACTGAATATCTGTCTACAGTCCCACATACTGAAATATTCAGAGTAAATGGATTGAACAGATGCTGTCTTTACCTGAGGAGAAAGTGTCTGAATTTATGTGGTACATTTTTTCATGTTTAAAAAAAAAGTTCATATTTATAATCTCTGAAGAAGTTAGCATCTTACCAAGTCAAATAGTAATTGCAAATAGAGACAAAACTAGACTTGGGCTTTATGGTTTCAGTTTTAGTCTTTTCCAAATTTTTGTTTTCCAACTGAATTAGTGTAGGATCTCTCCATTGCTGTTGATATGAGCTATGTCGATGTCTTAAATTATTATCGAAAGAAGTCTTTGTTCAGAAGTTTAAATTATTCCCCACGGGGGCCTCCCTGGTGGCACAAGGGGTTAAGACACAGCACTATGAAGCTATCTGCAGCTAGTGCTGCTGCACAAGTTCTGGCCAGGGAGCTGACCCACATGGCACCGCAGACCTCTCCTATCTTCCCTGCTGCTCCCCTCATCAGTGTATTTCAGTCAATCTGCCTGTTCTGCTCCCCATTCTGTCTCTGGTGAATCCTCTCACCGCCCCTCCTCCCTGCACCTCTGGCCTACATCCAAAGATCTTGTATGCATAAATAACTAAATTTTAAAATAAATAAATTATCCCCCACTATGACAGAATAAAAATGTAATGATAATAATCTACTAATTTATTCAAATAATCACTCAAACATTTTGCTTCACATTCATAAAACCAACCTTATCCTAATGTTAGCATCACCAGCTTTATATGCACCCAAACACCTTTAATTTGATGTGATGCTTATGATAACTCCTGATTGGACAATTTAACCTGGCTGTCCCCTGAGGGAGGGACTGCCCACAGGCAGTAATCTTTGGCACAAGTAGGGAATCCCAATGCATTTTTTTAATGGTTCCAGCTGTTTACTCAGCAGTGGGGAAAACAAAACACCAGCCTTGCTTTGCATTCTACACTGCAGGGCCCTGCTAGCAAAGCCACTCAGTTCAGGAATTAAACAACACACTAATTTCAGCTTCTCCACTTTTATTTTTGCCCATTTCTCAGACAATCCATGGTTTTTCAGAGTATCTTATCTCTCTAGTTTTGAAAATTACTTCTAGAATGGCATGCCAGTTCAGCAAAGTAGTGGGATTGATTTCCCTCATGATTTTTTTTTTCTAAATCCTTATCTTAGTAGAGGTTAAAACAGTTCAATAGGGTAAAGAGTGACTAAATCCCTAATTTCCATTGAAAACAAAAGGAAAATAACAAAGTAAATAAATGAAGGGGATCTGGGCAGTAAACTAGGTGTAGCTGTTAGAGTGGTCAGCCCCTTGAATGGATGAGCAGTTCACAGGAGGTTCCTACTGGGGGAGAAAATAAAATGTATTATCAAGAAAAAGGGGCATCCTGAAAGGTTAATAACCACTAGACACCGCCAGGGCCAGGCACTTAATTTGTGGGGTCGAGCACAAATTGAAAATGCCAGGACCCCTTTCATAAATGGAGGAAAAAAGTGTTTTCTTTCATGACCTTTACTCATGTTTTGTTATTCGTTATTTAACTGGCAGTCTCTGGGAACAGGGGGTAATCCTGGGCCTGTTGGTTGACCCTCACAGGCACCCTGAGTCCTTGCAAATATATAGGTACTTAGGGTCTACCTAAACCCTCCCTGCATGGTACCCAGACCCACAGGGATGAGGGGATATGTTGGGTGGAGCCAAAAAGCAGGTGACTAAGCTTGTACCATCCCACTGAACTTCCCTTAAATTAAAAAAATATATCTCTATCTCTATCTATCTATCTATCTATCTATCCACAGAATTTCAAACTGGGGCCTCTCTGGTGGCAAAGGGGTTAAAGTCTTAGCTCTATCAAGCTATCTACAGCCACTGCAACTGGAGTTAGATCCCCAGCTAGGGAGCTGACCCACAGGGTGCAGCAGAACTCTTCTGTCTCTCCTGCTGCTCCCCGCAGCAGTGTATTTTAGTCAATCCTCCTGTTCTGCTTCCCACTCTGTCTCTGGTGAATCCTCTAACCCCCTGCACCTCTGGCCTACACCTCAGTTCTTGTATGCATAAATAAATAAATCTTTAATAAAGAATTCAAACTGGTTTCCATGGCGTCAAACCTGACTATGATCCCTCTTCTTTGATGCTAGTCTTGTTGCAAGAAGCCTGCCATGCTGGTGAGAATTACTAGCAAAGGTATAATTCCGCGCTATATACATTTTCAACTAACATAACTAAATCTGCTAATTAATAGAATTTAATCTTATTTTGTTAGCTGGACGACTGAGGGGCACCCTGAAACCCCCAAAGTTGCCTGTTCTAAATGGGTTTTGACATCCGCCATATAAAGGCAAAGTGTATACGTTGTGTGTAAGCTCTTTAATTGAAGAGAAATTAAATAGAATTTATATGCATAGAAAGAAAAGATATGTCCAATGAAACATACAAAGTTACCCATCTCCATACGGATAATTGTCCAGCCAAACAGGGTTGGCCTAAAGCAGGGCCACTGAGACCCGTAAGCCTGCCACATGTCTAAAGCACTTTCTGGTGGGGACCCATAAGAAAGGAGCAGCAAAGTCTAAAAGGAAAGAAGAAAAATCAAAATCCAAGTTTCAATAAAGGCTGTCATCGTCAGTGTCTGCCACGGGTCTCTCACCCACATGAGTCTCTTTCTATGTCCCCAAGTCCCTGGTACAAGTCCATGGCCAAGAAAAAAAGCATGAACTTCTTTATCACATGTCTCTCTGTTCCAAGTGCTTCCTCCAAGTCTTCTTCCCCAGATCTCTTCCAAGTTCTTTTAAGCTTCCACGCACAGCTCAACACCATCCATCACTAGATGGGTCAGGGAACATGGAACCTCACCTTCTTAGATTACACAGTTACAGATTGATATTTTTGTTCCCATAAAAAGGACCACTTATCCATAATTCTAACATTTTATCACTTACAGTTAAATTTTCACAATCAAGTACTGACTGGGAATAATTTATGTGGGGAACCATATAACATGTAATCTTACCATTTTTTTATAACTGTCATTTACTATTGACTAAAACTTAGTAAATTAGAAATTGTATGGAGTCTATTTCTACTATAATACTATTCAAAATTGTTGTTATATCTTAAAATATTATCTCTATATATGTCATGTTTTAGGAAAATAATGATTTCTTTATCAGTGAAAATACCACCTGGGCAAGTTTCCCATACAAACCATCCACCTTTCTCTTTCTGTTTCCCGCATTGGCAAATGTAAACATCAACCCTTTCCCCCACTTTATTTATGCTTCTCCCACTTATTATAGTAAAGATCTTCACTTGCATTATATGCCTTTTCCCAACCCCAAAGTGATTCTGAGTGAACTTTAAGTAATCAAAGTTCCCCTGCCCACTGAAAGGATTTAGAGGGTATGGTACATTAATATCCCCCATATATCCAAATAGCATCAAAATAGTCCTGGCACAGATGTAGAACTGAAACTTGCAGAAGTGAATAAATCATTCCAGTATTCACTGTGCTTAGCCAGACATCCTATTCCCTCTCCTTTTCATGTCTTGGAATTTAGTTCTTTAAATATAGTTATTCAATCTATTGATCTAATGATTTTTTGAGATAACTATTACATTAGTCAAACAATTCAGAATGGACTGTCTTTATTAAGTGGTTCTTTTTCTTTCTTTTTTTTTTTAAAGATTTATTTATTTATTTATTTATACATACAAGCACTGGGTACAGTCAGAAGCACAGGAGGGTGAGAGAATTCACCAGAGCCAGAGCGGGGAGGCAAAGCAGGCAGAAGGACAGAAGTACACTGCTGAGGGGAGCAGCGGGCATCAGGAGAGGTCTGCGTGCCATGTGGGACCCTCCTCTGGTGGCCGGGGAGCAGCCAGGGATCGAACCAGTGCTACAGAGGCTGCGGGCAGCTTCGCAACCCAGTGCTCAACCGCTGCGCCACCGGGGAGGCCCATAAGGGGTTCTTTTTCTTTTTCTTTTTTTTTGCTGAACGTGGGCCTGCTACCTCGTGGCACAGAGCATAAAAGCCATGCCACAGGCTTTTGAGAAAAGAACCAGTTAAATGCAAGCTCACGGGCCTCCCTGGCAGTGCAAGGAGCTAA